AGCTACCACTCCAGCACCATATCTGCCAGCATGTGACCATGCTCCCCATCATGATGATAATGGATTGAGCCACTGAAACTGTAAGTAAGCCACCCTAACTAAATGTTTTAATTATAAGAGTTGCCATGGTCATGGTGTCTCATCACAGCAAGAGAAACCCTAAGACAGCATTCCCATTTATTAGAAGTTGAAAAACTAATACAGAATCCCGTGAGTTCATCTTCCACATTCTCCTAGTGTTGACATTGCACATAGTACAATGCCAAAGCATGGAAGCTGCTAGAGGAGAAATTGAATTGGATGCTTGGCATTGCAGCAAGCCCTGTACTTCTGCTTCTCTTAGAATGAAGTCTTCTCTTGTGTTCAAGGCCTTTCATAGCCTTACCCTTCTTAACTCTTCAGGTCCTATTTCTTCCCTAGAAATTCTAGCACCACTAGATTTGTGTTAGTTGTCCTGAATTTAAAGGTATTAAGTGCTTTTCCACCCCCCTCTTAGGTTCCTAGTTACACTGGCCTCTGATCTGCTATGTTCTCCTCAAACTTAAGTCTTCCTTCAAGTCTCAGCTTCAAATCATCTTCTGAGAGTGGCTTTTGCTGACTTCCCACTTCCTTTTCCACCTCTTGTTTTTTTTTTTTTTTTTTTTTTTTTTAATCTATAACCACAATAAGTACATGACCACAGACAGATATTGGAGTTCAAACTTCAAGCTGAAGATCACAGAAGCGAAGTAGCGGGCCACTAGCTCTTACCACTACCTCAGGCTGAATGGGCTGATCCTGCTGCCTCTTCTCAGCATGTCTGGAGAATGAATGTCTCATACTGACACCTTGCTCCTGTCCTATATACTTCCCTAATGGTGGGATTAAAGGCATGTGATCCCAGGTGCTGAGATCATCTTTGTGTGAGCTGTTTCTCTTTAGAACCGGATCAATCTTGTATAGATGTTAGTGGCCTTGGGTTTGCAGAAATCCGTCTGCCTCTTAATCCCAAATCGCAGGATTAAAGGTGTGCACCACTACCTCCTGGCTTCTGGCTGCTGGGATTAAAGATGTGTGCCTGGTGTCTATGGCTTGTGGCTGGCTTTGCTTTTTGAATCCTCAGGCAAGCTTTAATAAATCATAAATAATATGTTACCACAACCAATCAAATATATTTTTGCATATTTTATGTTTACTTGCTTGTTATCTATCTGAGTCTTCAGACTCCAAGGGTTCTAATAATAGTATTTTTTTCAGCTCAGTACAATGAGAAATTTGATCCATAAAAATCTCAGCCTTGTATGCTTAAAGAATATTTTCTTTTTAATGCTTAACTCAACTTTGCACAGCCAATCATGTTACAGAACTGAGTATCATACAGCTCATTAGCTTTTCCCACACGCAACCAGGTAATCTCTTATCTCCAGCCTATGGGGGGGAATATTTGCAGTCCTGTTTCATAGACTGAGTAATAGCAGTAATGGTGGTGACCAGTGTAGTAGATGGTTTGATGCTTTATATTGCTTTCCCACAGTGAACCCTCTGATACCAGCCACAGCTTGAAGGATAGATAGTTCCTGCTGTTGCTGTCAGTGACCTCCATCGCACAGGTACTTCCAAGGGTCTCTTCTTCTTCTTCTTTTGTGTTCACTTCTCCAGGAATTGAAAGGGGTCATGGAAGAATTTATGTCCAGGTCCTATCTCTGGCTCATAGCCTGAAGTATTTAGTGTCTACCGGTAGGTACACCTGCTACGTAAACTTACCCTATGTGGGCAGACTCCACCAATGGAGGTTGCTAGTGGGTAGATTTCAAAATTCTTCTTCTTTTTAATCACAATATCTCTTACATTTTTAAAAATTGTAATTTTGTGTGGGGAGGGTTGCACATGTACATGAGCATGAGGTGGAGGGAGGGGAGCTTCAGGTGTCATTCCCCATCAGCTATCCACCTCAGGTATTTTGTTTGTTTTGCGTTTCATCTTGCTTTTTGAGATAACCGTCCTACTAGACTAGGGTGATTGGCCATAGATCCTGTGCACCACAATGCCCCACTTGTTATGTGCATTCTGGGAATTGAACTATGGTCAGTATAGAAGCAGTCACTGACTGAGGTATACCCCAGGCCCGCTTCCTATTTCTTGACAGAATAATTCCAGAATATTGCTGCTCTGTGGTTGTAATGGGACCAAGGTTCTCTTGCCTTCATCAGCAACACTACAGGTACATCTTTTTATTGTTGTTGTTTTTTCACTTTTCACTCTTCCCTTGTTTTGTTCTCCCATTCCTCACCCTGGCTGGCTTCCTAGAATCCCTGTCAAGCAGGCTGCTTTTGTCTGGGGCTCTGGCTTCCTTAGTTCCACATCTGGCTGTTGTATACTGTTGCTGTAATTCCTTTGAATGGCTTACCTTTCCTCCTAATAACAATCTTCTGAGCCTGTACTCTGAGCTCCAGGATAGAGATGGGGCAACTGAAAGAATGAGACCTTAGGTGTCTTCCCAGCACAGTGCTGACCTCCCACATGCCCTTCGTGGTCCCCATAGTGCTAACTTCCTTATGCTTCCAGACTGCCAGTGCCTGTAGATTGTGGCTATGAAAACGTTACACGGCTTTGGAGAAGTTACTTGGGAGAAAGAGGAGTCACAAAAATGGCAGGGTTGGAGTTCTAAGTTAGGCAATCTGATCACTGGGATCAGTGATCTTCCTTGTATGCTTCAACTCTTCAAGGAAGAACGGCAGTCAGCACCCTGAGATGATCAATGAGCCCTGAGCTGAGTGAGACTCCACACTCAATCTCAATGCTCCCAGGCTGACTGACTACTAATTAGTCCTCTCCTTTTCTTTCTCCACAAAGGCCAAATCTGGTTTCTTTCCTTGAAACCCAAAGCACTAAGCTGGTTTGGCAAAATCCCTGTTGGACTAAAGCAGCATTTTATTGTACCCTGAAGTGGACTGTGAAACCATGTCTTTATTTCAGTCAGGGAAATTCTATTTGTCAGAGTCCCAAAGGGCTTTAAACTTGTGACAGTCTGTCATCGTGGGGTATGAGCTTTGGAGAGCTCATGACTATGTATGAAGAAGAGGTCACTTTCTCCTCCTGCACTGGGCTTAAGGATGAAGTCTCATCTAGCTAGCACCTTGAGAAACAGGGCAGAGAAGGCCCCGGCCTGTGACAGTTAGCCACACCTCCCATCCACTGTAAAGCAGGTGATGTCAGCCTTTAGGGGCCATGCTTTACTTCCTTGGTACCAGGAAAGCTTTCTCTCTGGTCCTCTTGTGCCTCATTATCCATATAAGTAGCTTCTTATATCCTTTTAAAACACTTCAAAATACTATCATAGTGTCACTGCCCCCCTCTGGAAAAAAAAATCCTTCAAGTGCCTTCAGTAAGTTTCTTTCATACGAAGGTAGAAGTCCTAATTATGGCCTCTGAGTAGTGTTTACCTCTGCACCCATGGGCAGGCCTCATATCTGAGAAGCCTCCCTCAGTTTCTATGCTATGGCACCTCTATATGTCCTTCAGAGCTAAAGTCTGCCTGCCTCTCCCCTGCTGTGGTATGCTGCCTTCTGCCCTGTACTTAAGATGGGTTGTGCTCAAGTCTGAAGCTCCTTCACCTTTTTCCCTGGGTAGCTCAGATAGATGCTTTTGCAGAAACCCATGCCTCAGTCACACGAGGTGGAACCGGTGTGTGAATACTTTAATATGACTCTCTCCTAATAGAATGCAGACTTCTTATTATAGAGCCCATTTCTGCCTTTTCACACCATGCTTTCATTCTCGACTTGAGCAATGATAAGTACTTGGGAGGTGGAAGGTTAACTAAACAAAGAACGGTGGATCAGGAATCATAAGTGGGGTAGGGAGCAGGAGACAGGGACAAGAATATTATTAGAAGCATTGCATTTAACCTTTATTCTTTCACTGTTAAAGCCAACAGGGCCCCACAGTCAATGATTCCTCATTGTTCAGCCAGATTGTATGCAACAACTTTATTGAGGTCAAATAGATAACACAATACAGATTTATCCAACAGGATTTAAGAAACTGGTTACAGACAGCATTTGATACACAGGCTATTTTGTGTTAAACTGCTTCCAACATCACAGATCACACAAAGAATTTGTACATCAGTTAAGACTATCTAGAAACACATATGCTTAGTTTGCCCTGCCTGTTGGGCCTTGTTGCTTCAATTAAATTAAAATGCAGAAATGAAGATTTGTGTCTTTTTGATAATGAATATGTTCTGGACTGCCTTTCATGAGAACCATCTTGGGGATAGAATGGCATTGGAAGCCATTCTTAATTTGTGCATTATACACAAACCCAAATAAGTAATTCTGTTAAACTATAACATTAGATTTCTAATAACTGGATTGAGCAACATATTAGCTTTAAAAATAAACAAAATCAGATGTTTGACTAGTTATATGTGATTACAGAGCATTTTTCTTAGTACTGCTTAAACTATAGTGTGTAAAGCTGCATCTCTGGATGCTAAGAAAACATCACTCTACAAGCATGGGGTCATTGTACCTTATCACTCATGGCTCACAGGATAAGAGCCACAAAACACCAGAGGAAGTTACAAGAATGTAAATATGTACTGAAGCAAATCAGATAAATATTTGGCAGTTATCATACAGAACACTGACTATCTACAAATAGAGAGACCTCCCAGATATTAGCTCTAATGCATTCAGAACTTGGGTAAAGTCAGAAAGACAAACTTGCAAAGTCTACAACGTAGTGCATATATGTCTTTAAACACCCACTGAACAAACTCATGATGCAAACTGAAAAATCTTCAGAAATACAAATGTTTGTGTGAGAAAATATTCATGCATTAAATCATATAAACATTGTTCCTCAAGTGAAAACAGTACAGAATAGTTACCTAAAACATATCTGTAGCCCTAAAGGGCGTAAACTGAAATATATCAACACATGCATGTTGCGATTCACCAAATAGTCTTCTAGAAATCATTAAAATGTCTCTTGCATCAAAACACACAGGAAAACACAATACTATTTAAGTTACTTTATGCACATTATGCACTAGAGACTTTAAGCTACAAATTGCTTCCACTATTTCAATACACATACAAAATGACCATAAAATTATCTGTGTATATAACAAGGTACTTTCTAATTACCCATCTATGATGAATAATGCATCTCCTCCTCATGGCATCTCATCTCTAAGTACCATTTATCACCACCCAGGCCTTTCTGTCTTAATGAGGGCTACAGATCTCTGATTTACATTCAACATTCTCTGCATTAATAATTGATTGAAACTCTTAAAAAATTCTTCTGCTACTGAAATGGAAGGTGGTGAGACTATTGCCAGAAGAATTTGGGTGATACTGGGCTATATCTGATTGTTAAAGGAAGTGGGGCCACTGGGCTGCTGCCCAAACTCATCGGAAGAGGGCCCCAAACTCGCCTGCTGGCTATAGCCACCACTTGACCCATAGCTGTCTTGGTTGTACCCGCCTTGATTATAGCTGCTAGAGTGCTTCTCCATGGGGTCGGAAAGGTATCTCTGTCCCGAGGAATGCCAGCCAGTCTCCTTGAAAACAAACCAAATGTTGCCAGCCCAGAGGATAAAGTTTAAAAATCCAAAGACCTGAAGGAGAATCAGAGCAAAAGGTTAACAGGCTGAACTGAAATTGTAGAAAATTTCGTTCATAGTAATTCCTCACAGTGTCTTAATTTTGAAGTCTGTTTACATTTTTCACTCAGAGCCACTGTTGGATTGAGGATTCCTGAACACTATATATGCCAGACATTACATGAAAGGTTTTTACATATTGATTCTGCTAGTCTAAGAAACCAATGTTACTACGTCTATACTAAAAATGTGGAAACAAACTTAAGCAAGGAAAATACTCTGGTTCAAGGACACACTACAGATTATAAACAATGGCAATCCACCTCTAACAGATCAAATGGACTCCATATAAGTACTGTCAATCAATAGCCTGTTTCCTCATCTATATCTTCCTGAGGAGGTGGGAACCTTCTCTTTCCCAAGCCTTGGGATTTCCTTCCCCTTGCTAGCCAGGACCGTGGACCTAGAAGTTTCAAATGTACACCTTATAAAAACATCTTTAAACTTTTGTTTCTGACCCTAACATATATCTGTTCTAGCAGATTTCCAGTCAATTGAAGACTGCAAACAGCTCCCATTGCTACCTGCAGGTCTCTAGTCCCAAAAGGTCCCACAGAACTTGACAGCAAATGAAACAGCTGCCCTTCTTGGACTTGGCCAGCATTCCACATTTTGGAGTCCCCAAATGATGCTGAAATATCAACAGGAAATAGTCATAGGTGATTTTGTCATCATCCCTTATCATTCATTTTCAGCAAAAAGACTGGGATGCTAAGGACAAATGGCTGAGGTTTCTATTTAACACTTCAACATATGAAAGCTGGACCTAGGTTCCAGGTTCTCCCAGCATCCCTTAGTCCCTCCCTACCCCTTAGAAGATATTGCTCACATACCTTGTCCTCTTCCCTGGACTCTCTAGCCTAAGTGCTGGGCTGACCTTGAAAAATGAATCATTCCCAGCTGTATAAATTCTTGTCAAGATCCTGATCCTTACATTGTAATCAGATACACTCCATATGTATTTTTGCCAGTTAATCTTAGTCAACCTTAGTATGACGATCGTGGTGTTTATGCTGTAGAAGAAATTACTAATGCTCTTAGTAGGCATAAGTGATTTATTGCTGCTTTAATTTGAACCTCATTGCACTCAGTATTATAGAGTTGTTGCTGCCTACAGCTGCCTTAGTACAACATGTACATACTACTGACCATGTTAATCAACTATCTAAAAACATTTCTCTGACCTTGCTTATGCAGGAACAGAAGGTAGAAAGCTTGAAGATGGTTAATATTTTGGAAGATCAGGCTTATGCATAGGGAATCAAATTCAGAACATCAAGGTTAGATTCACCACCTCTTGCCATTCACATTTTAAATGGGTTTGTGTCACCTCTTTCCCCTATAACTCCTCAGAGCTTATCTGGCCTCAAGTTCAGACTCATCTTCAGGGCATATGGAACAATTCTGATTTCTCTATGGATTTACTGACCTTACATAGTCAAATTGCTACAATTAAGCCATACTAAATTACAATCTCTCTCAGCTTCCAAGGTGGTAGAAATATTTATAAATTCCTTAAATTCCTTTGTGACAGGAACAACCTTTTGTTCACTTATTATCAATTTTGGCATTATTCTAACTGTCCTGCTCACTCTAATCCTACTCCTTCTGGTCACCCTCTGGCTAGGACATAGCTTCAAAATGATTTCCACATGTCTAAATTAAAAAATAAAAGGGAGAGATGACATGGACAGCACGATGACCATCACTGCTTTACAAAGTTTCCAGCACTTTGACTGTGGATCCCAGTTCTCCAGCACCCCTGTACTTTCAGTTTTAATGAGTCTCATATATGTTATGGGCGTTCCCTTATGTATGCCTTTTCGGGAGATTTTGTGTGAGCGTTAAAGAATGGGTAAAATGGTAGCCTCCTTAAAAAAAATAATTCTTAGGAAAAATTCTCTACCACCAGGAAACATATAGCATGATGACTCTGCACACAAGAATCCCATTGTCATCTCCTGATTACACCAAGAACAGAAAATTTAGAGATTCACTAACCGAACACACCTGACCCAAAGAATGAAGAGCCCACAATCCAGATGCAGAGCCTGAGGCCATTAAGGGCAAGCATTCAGTTAGTAAGCATAGAGAAGTCAGAACTGTACAGTATAATGGGAAAAGAGTGAGACATCAGGACCTTCCCTTTTGGGAGCATGCGAGGGGAACAGGTCCATATATTAAGTCCAAGACACAAAGGAACAAAATTAAGAAACAACTCAGTACAAACACTGCATCATGCCCCTTGAGGAATAAAAACTGTTCTTAAATTGTAGTAGAGTGTCTGGTCCCAGAGGAAATCCTTATCTCAAGGTCAGGCATTTGGATAAAGGCCTCCATTTCCCTGGGGCATTGAGGAAAGATCCCGATAGCTAAAAGCAGCCATTCTCCTTATCTCTGGTGTGGGAGGCAGTGAGTTACAGCAGGTGATAGTTACTGTTCAGATGTCAACTCACCAGAGGAGCGATTCTCTGATGGAGATTAATTCTGTCCCGGCAAGACCTGAAGGACTATCAACTCTGGAAACTGTTGCTCACTTTTGCTAAAGCAGCTTTGTGTCTCCCCAAAACCTACATTGTAGTCTGTAATCTTATGTCATGTGTATATGTAATCATGATTGCATCTTGATCTTATGGGCACATATGTCTGTGGATAGTCAGGAAGATAATTTTTAATTCATTGTATAATTTTTATATACAGAATAAATACTGGGACATGCTCCACAACGGGATCTACTGTCTCATGAGGACCGTGCACACGGAAAGGCTGCTTTGTTCCTTTTGCTCAGACTAACTGTACATAATTAACTCACTTTTACCTCAGAGCAAGTTCAAATTAGACTAAGGGCTTTGTGTAAATAGATCATAAGTTTAAAACTTTACCGTTACACACAAGGTTAGAGTCGCAGATGTCTAACCAAGGTTACTATACAAAACACCCTAAGAAAAGCATGTCAATTCTTTGCTTGCTCAGTCTAGCTGACAAAAGACCTGTCTCAAAGTTTGTCTCTAGGCACTGTGCCACCGGGCTCTGGTCAGAGTCTTACTCCTGTAACCTTGAAACTTTGCTTTGCCATGGTAAAGGGCTCTGCCCTTGTTGTTCACTCAAAGGAATGTGCTTTTGACCAATGAGATATAACTCTGGGTAAGGTGGTCCTTAATCAGCATTTTCCACATATTGGGCAGCATGCTAAGTTTTTTTCTTTCTCCATGAATTATCTTCTCTCAGCAGTCTGCTGCCTCTTGCATAATTGTCTATAATTTTCTGATGGTGGCATGGAGGTTTGAGTTGGTTTTTTGTTAATAAAGGGCCTACTATATTGTCACTTAACCTAGTAGAGCCAGACTTCTCCTTGGAGGCCACTCCAGCAGTGTTCCTTTAGCTCTTTTGAGTATTGGGAGAGTTTGGCTTCTGTTCTACCATTAGTATAGTTAAATCCAGCAACTTTTTCCAGGATCTTTAATATCTCCTTACTGAATCTGTAATGCCCTAATACCTCACTTTATTTTAGGGTTACTGTGAAGTTACAATGGCAAAGAAAATAATGTTATTACCACAGTAGAAAATATTTATTGTTTCTTGACCATTTTCCTTGTAGAGATCACAAAGCATAGTGTGTGTATGGTATGGTTCCTTTTTCAGGGCTTGCACTTGCCCAGCAGGATGAGTTCTGTGAGCCATGTTTTGACAATTTCTAAAGCCTATAGCTACAGTTGACGAGACTGTGAGACTGAGATGGACACTTGAGCCTGGAAGGGCCAATGGGATGCCATCAAGCATACCTTCAGACATTTGTAACTGGATCTCAGTGAGGTAAATTCAGTCTAAGTATCCCTCCACTAACAACATTTGTTATCTCTCTCTCTCTCTCTCTCTCTCTCTCTCTCTCTCTCTCTCTCTCTCTGTGTGTGTGTGTGTGTGTGTGTGTGTGTGTGTGTGTGTGTTTGTGCATGCATGTGGAAGTCAGAGGACAACTTTGTGGAATCTGTTCTCTCTGTCCTTTTTGTGAGTTCTGGAGATAATGTTACCAAATTCGGGCAGTGAGCAAAGCTCTTTCTTTGAAAGGAAATACACAATTAAAAACTGAAGGTACCTACCTTCTCCAATATGCACAAGAAAAAAAAATTAAAACTCTATTTAGAAGAGGAAAATAACATAACACACAGTGTCTTTCAACAGGTGCACACACAAGGGTAAGAGGTGGAGAATGGGAAAGGCCCAGTCTCTTTACTACCTTCCAGCTTACAGCCATGAAGTCTCCTCTAGAGGAACACTTCTAGTTTTTCTAATTATTTTTGGGTTTTGCTTGAGCTAGTTCAATGTGACTTGAAGGGGAGCACACTTTCAAGTCAAAAGCCTGTGTTGACTGATTAATATCCTTTCTCCTATGATAGTAATATACAATTCATTTCCTTGCAGTATGAAGTTTTAGTCCAATAGTCCAGGAACTTTTCTACTGCAGGAGAAAAATGGGAGATTAGGTAAAATTCCCACTAATCAGCAACTGGCAGAGAGTTGGTTCTCTGATGTCAGGAGTTGAGGATATGCTCTGGCTTCTTCCACTCGCATCTCTTCAGATCTCAGCAGGTTCATGGCGTCTTTCCAGAAACTATCATTTTAATGATGAAATTAGGACCAGTTTCTGTTTAAAATGTAGGTATCTGAATGAGTACAGACACTAGTTCCAGACAAGGGTCTAAAGAATACTGTAAGCTTTGCTTTAGTCAATATGAACAAGCTGTTCTATTAGAACCCCCAGAGCCTTGGCTGTTAGGGACACAACCCTGCAGGCCTTTCCTTCCATATGTTCACATTGTTTTTAGGTTTAGGAGAATGCATTATTCTTCATCTCTAAGTCCTACCTTTCAACCTAAACTTTATTAGAACATGAGTGGAATCACAAGGCCGTGTGGGATGTCATAACTTACTGGGACATGGATTACCAAGCTAGTAGTTGACAAACAGCATTTACTTGATTTGTTAAATACGTCAAGCAATTTTTATTCTCTTACATTTTGAGATGAGAGTCACAATTATGTCCTCAGTTCTGCCTACAAATAAGCTACAGAAATCACTATCTATGTTAATGCACACTCACAAATTGTCACTCATGAGTATGGCCAGCAATATGTAAGAATGTTTGTGAGATCCAGGGCACAGTTAATTTCCATGGCTACAATTTCACCAAGGCAAGATTTATAAATAAATCAGGAAGAGTGGAACAACCTTTGCCCTCTTTGTAACCCCCTTCTCTGACTGAATTTCAGAAAGCCCCAGGGACACAGGTTAACATTGCAGCCAAGATAACTATTTTTCACTTTTGCTGGATGGTGTTCTTTTAGTGAACACAGCTGAGCTTCCATTCCTCAGTAAATGCTTCTTTTTGCCAGCATCCTAGCTCATCTTTATCTGATGCAGCTTCCTCCTGTGGAGTAGCACAATTGCTAACGTGTATGAATTAAGAGTACAATTTAGCCTCTCTGTAGCTGTTGGCATTCGTCCTTTCTTGTAAGGCCTGTACTGTTGATGGCAATATTTGATTTTGTTCAGCCAATCAGAACATCTTTTCTAAGGCTGTCAAACAACTAAACTGGAGAAGGGGGAAGATACACAATTATTCTAAGTCCTTTTTCAAGCTGTGTATTTCCTCTGGCTCCCTACTAAGTCTGCATAATTTTCTTCAACGAATTTGGTATATTCCAAGTGTGGCTTTAATAAAATGTTCTCTTTCAGGAAACATCTGAGTTAACAAATAATCTTTTAACTTCTGACAGGCTTCAGCCTTAGCATTTAGGCTTTATATCAGCTCTAGCTTAGAATTTTCACTTGACTGTCATCTTAGGCACAGCTGCTAATACCTGGTGGGTATTTATTAAAAACCTTAATCAGCAACATTACAGTGTGTTTGTTTTGACAATGAAAATCTTGAAGACTGAAATATCACTTTACGATTCAATGAGATTTTGCCCTTTTGATTGGCCTACTTTTAGAGGCAGAAATGTCCACAGTGGCTTAATCACTGGCCATCAAATAAAGACTTGGGAAGTCAAGCCTGGATGAACAAATACTCACCACAGATGTGTTTAAGCTGGACATGACAGGGCTATGGACAGCCAAGCATTTGTTGGAGGATTGCTTGCAAGCTGACATCAGTAACAAGACTTCATTGGGATCAGTTGCCACTTTGACATCAGACAGTCCTTTCGCCCAAGCAGATGAACCAACCAACCACAAGAATGAAAAGACGACAGTGACGATAAAGTCCTGCACAGAGAGAAGACAGGAAAAACAAAACAAAACAAAATAACAAACAAACAAACAAAAAACCAGATGTGAGCTCCAGAAACAAATCTATTAATTTATGCAAATACCATTTAGTTTTTGGAAAATTCTAAGATTCCATAGCATTAGGACCTAGAGATACTGTAAAATGAGTAAGTTTGTTGAGCTGTATTTATACTTACATGAGATAAATAATATAAATAATTATATTGTTATTTAGGTTTTTTTTTTTTTTTTTTTTTTTTTTTTTTTGTAGTCCTGACTGTCCCTTATGCACAGCAAACTGGTCTGGAACTCACAGAGATCTTCCAACCTCTGCCTCCTCTGTGCTGGGATTAAAAGAATGCATGACCACACCCAGCTATATTGTTATTTCTCAAAAACCTGCTGTGCTTTTATTCTCAGGAATGACTCAAGAACATCATAATCTATATTGTATTGTTCCCCAAACTGTCCCTATTTGCATTTGGTAAAATAAGTCAGAGAGTGGTTGAAGTGTAATGACATCATTCTAGCCATTGACCTCAAGCTCTTTTTAAAAATTTTTTATTCATTTTTAATTTAAATTAAAAACAATCTTATTTTACATACTAATTCCAGTTCCCTCTCTCTCCTGTCCTTCCACTACCCCCACCATCCCACCCCATCCACTCATCAGAGAGGGTGAGGCATCACATGGGGGATCATCAAAGTCTGTCACATCATTTGGGGTAGGACCGAGCTTCCTCCACTCCCCACCCTATATCTAGGCTGAGAGAGTATAGCTCCATGGGAATGGGCTCCAAAAAGCCAGTTCATGCACAAGGGATAAATACTGGTTCTACTGCCAGTGTTCCCATAGCCTGCCCAAGCTTCACAACTGACACCATCCTGAGTGAGGTAACCCACTCACAAAAAGACAAACATGGTTGCTTTTTCTTTTCTCCCTTGGGGCATGGTATATTTTGCTTGTATTGCTCTGCACTCAGGTGTACCTCTGTGACTTTTCATCAAGAACTGGGGAAGCTGTAACTCTTTAAGTGAGACTGTGTGTATCTAGTGTTTGTTAGGTGTGACATTTTGGAGAATGTTTTCAAAGCCTCACAACTAAGATTGGCTTAATCATTGAAGCATCCATCCTTTTAATCCAGTGGCTGTTTTGAGTTATGTAGCTCAATAATATTTGGGGTCAAAAATGTGATCCATTCCCAGAACTTCTAGGGCATGGGGTACTCCCTATTCCTGTATTCTACACCCATACTTCTCCCTTACTTTATTTGCATATCCTTCTCATTTTGAGTTGTATATACCCTTGTAAGCTGTCCGAAGTCATTTCTGGAAAAATACAGAGGTTAAAGTGCAAGCATACAAGTACAACATCTACAGCTGTTTCACCATTAGTAAGACAACTCATACCTAATGATTGATTGGGTATGAACTGAGTGTGTCAAATCTCAACTTTCTGTTCATGTCCAATCTGGCATCTTTGCTCATTCTTCATTATGCAGGCAGTATGAATTTACACTTACATATTTATATATCAATTAGTCTAAAACAAGGGTCACCAAAGTAAAGGAAAGGTATTGGCAGGGCCTCAGACCTTTTGGTAGGGTCTAGGGAGAATCCACAACCTTACTTCTCCCTGTTTATCAGGCTACCCATTTTCATTCCTCATGGCCTTCTTCTGTGTTCAAGCAGCAATAGCCAGTCTTTCCAACATTGCAACACTCTGATGATGACTCCTCCGCCTCTGCCTCTTTTTTCCCTTTGGAAGCCTCATGGTTACACTGGGCTTACCCAAATAATTCAGTGTATTGCTATGTTAAAACTCTGTCAGTAATCTTAGTTCTATCTGTAATGTTAATCTCCTCTTGCCATGCCATATGATACAGTTACAAGTTCCAAGGATGAGGATGGGGGTATCTTTGTGGGGCCATTATGCCACCTACATGGTTGAAAATGTTTTTAATCCCAAGATTAGTTGGGGGGGGGGGAAATTGACATTTTAATGATGTTACATCTTCCAAGGAATTGGATATGAAGTATCTGATTTCATTCATGTATTCAAATAGTATGGTTTGGGTAATGTTCAAAAGTCTTAAGGAAACTCTTATTGGAGAACAGAATAAGCAGAGCTGTGCCCCTTTGCTGTTACATATTTGTTAGGGCCCATAGTTACTATATAGCTCCAAGTACAGGACAGTGCTTTTCTTTACTTATACTCATCACAATTAGAGACAGTTAAATGCCAGTTAAAACACCAATAAGATATAGGGAAAAGAATAGGATTGTGTCCATTTAACAGCATAATGGTAGTAGGTTTTCTCTTAGGCTGTATGCTTTGTCTAGACATAGATTCTTGGCTTGATAATGGCATAGATTTCATCTTGTGGAGCAGACTTTAAATTCTATCAGAAAGTGTTTGGTTACTCCCATGACATCTATGCCACCATTGTACTAGTGGCCATGTCTTGCTAGGCCAATCATTGTTGTAGCTTGCAAAATTCATCACTGGGTAAGATTGTTAGCATTCATGGAATCTAGTCAATAGTGGTAAAGTTTCTAGGTCAGCACCATTTGATTTATTCTATGACTCAGGTTTATTAAATTCTCAATGAGAACTTTCAACTGGATAACGAAAAAAATATTCCAAACTAATGTTTATTGAGCACTTATTATCCACCAAATATTATTCCAGATTAATTTGGATTAACTCAATCCTGATAAAAGCACTGTGAAACACATGTTAATCCTGTTCTCATTTTGTAATTGAGGAAACTGATGTACCAGGATGTTAAATAAATTGCCTGAAGCCTGAGTTAATTGATAGAGGATCCAGGATTCCAAGCCTGGCCATCTGTCTCCAGGGTCTGTATGCTTGAATGCAATATGCTGCTTCTAGTTTAAATATCAGCTCTGGCACTGGACAGATCCAGAATTGAATCCTTAGTCTTATACTTTCATGCTCATAGGCAATTTGCTATACTTCCCAAGGCCTCAGTTTACCCCTGCAGGTGGAAATGAGAGATCTTCTCATGGGACAGTTGGAGGATTAAATGAGGTCCTGTAAACAATGTTTATGACTATGTCTGGGAAATGATGACTGAGTCAGGGATGGAAACTTCAGCAATAAACAGTAAAATCAACACTGACAATGCAAATAACACGCAACTGTCCTGGCTGTGCTTCTACTTTGGGTGATATATATCTACACAAGTGAAATGGTAGAGATTTTGAACAAGATACTACTGCAATAATTTCCAAAACTTTGAAACCAGCTCTGTGTCTTATGGTGGGGAAAACAATGTTCAACCATTTAAAATAATTGCTGTACAACATTATTTATGAATGTGTGTCTATTCCAAGCATGGTGGAAAGAGTAATTATTCTTAGTGTGAGTCCAATGCTGAGCATACATTCTCTGCTGAAAACCTGCCAGCAATAGCCCTTCACTGAGAACAAACACCAAAGACCACACAGAGGGTCCTAAGGAACCCTCAGCAATCCTGGTTGCTCTTCTACTGTGAATCACATTCCTGGTTGTTACTCTAACCCACCCAGAACACACACAGATTTCACCTGGGATAGCCCCTTTGCATAGAAACATGGGGCTTGCTTCCTTTTGCTGTTAGAAATATCAGCTGAAACTTCAATGTTCTCAGGTGCTGTGTTGCAAAGCACATGTGCATAGCATTCCCCCAAGTCAACTTCTGAGACTACGTGGAAACACTTAGATTAATAGAAATGGGTTAATACTTAAGATAGAGCTAGCCGGCAAGAAATTAGTAACTGGCCAACAGAATTATATCTAATACAGGGTCTCTGTGTGTTATTTGGGGCAGGCATAGAGGTGGGACCAGGGGGGAAAACCTTACTCCTAACAAACTTCCTATTCACCCTTTCCAGTTTTTGTTCCTCATTTTCTCAATTTCCCTTTACAATCTGGGGTATGCTTCCTTGTTCTAGTTGTTTATCCCAACTGAAATCTACACATTTGTGTGCAATATTTTCTCTCTGATGCACAAGGCATTGGTCAGTGGTTACTTTCTAAAGATTAAATATATGTAAGAGGAGATGTTTCTGGTAAACAGAATCAGAAGCAGCAGGGTAGAAACCTATGCACAAAGGCAAGGCCCTCTTGCAGGAGGGCCTGTCTCCTTAGCACTCCCCTGTACAGAGCCCATTCCTTATCTCTACCAGCCTTATGATTTATTTATCACTTTAGCATTTTCTCACTAATTGTCACCTCCCATAAATGTACCCCTGATCTCTATGCCTGGACATTTATTTCTTAAGCACTTTTCAAAATTCAAAAATCCATTCATTCACCACCACTCCATTTTTCCAAATAAGACTTCAACTCATGGGTGTGAGTTTTGTCTGCCTTGTTCCAGCTTGGGTCTTGAATGAGAGAGTGAATGAATATACAGTATGACCCCAATCTTACAAAATTTTATCTTTGTGGATATGTTTTATGATAATTTAGCAAGTAATAATGTTTAGAAATAAATTACACTTCATTTTAAGTAAGATTCTATTAGAAGAAGTAGAACATGGCATGAGACCAAGGCACTGATTGGTGGTGGCAGCAGCTTTCACACCCAGAGTTCACAGTTGGCAACTAACTCCTTCAGCAGTGGCAGGGATTCTATTTATATTAAATAACAATCAGCTTTACAGTTACACAATGGAGTACTACTCAGTTTTAAGAAAGAATGACATCCTAAAATTTGCAGGTAAATGGACAGAACTAGAAAAAAAAAAAAAAAACCTGAGACCCAGAAAAAGACAAATATAGTAAGTACTTACTCATAAGTAGATACAAGACATAAAGCAAAATATACTCAGCCTACAAACCATAACCCCAGAAAAGCCAGAACCCTCTTTCAGAAACAGATAGAAGCAGATGCAGAATTCCACAACTAACCATTGGGCCAAGCTCCTGGCGTACAATGGAAATGAGGGAGGAGTGATAATATGAACAAAGGAGTCAAGACCATGAT